GAGCGGAGTGCGGGGAAGCCGGGGAACTCTGACTGAGGATAAACTCTGATCGCATTGTTACTGAACTGCGGGTAAACACAAAAGGCATTTCTGCCTGGGGCGTAACCTCCTGTGAGCGAACCAAACTACTTCTACAAGATGGGCGTAAACGTGAAGTCACTACAGCTTAATCCCTCAGCATCAATTAAACTTCTCTTTGCAGCTCAGTTTAATTTTTTTTTCGAGCTAATGGAAAAAAAAAGTTTGGAGGAGGGCTGCCTGTAAAGACCCACTTCCTGTTTTGTGACCTGGAATTTTCAGCATCCTAGTAATTGTGAGCTTGGCTTCCCTGCACCTGTGGGGTCTGTTTTCCTGGGGCGGCGTGTCTTAGCATTGACAGGAGTTTCGGTTGGATAGTTTCTGTTACTGGGCGTTCATAAACGTCCTCCTTGCCCCTCCTCCTCATTAATCACAGGTTGAGAGTGTGGGGGAAGACTTGTTTTGCTTATTTGTTGTTGTTGTTGTTTTCAGGGGCGGTTCCAAGCGTTGTGATTTCACTCCTGTTTGGACGCCTCTCTGAAACTCAGATTCAATTTAAAACGTGGGCACAGATAATACACAAAATACATTTGGCTCTACTTTACTTTTGGAGTTAAGAAAACCGTTTATTTGGACCTTGTTCTCCCCTCCTGAATATTTCTAGGCTATGCAGGTTTTGGTTCTCCCATCCTTCCCTGATACACTGTCCTTACCCTTCTGCTTGGGCAGCTTTGGGTTGGACATCCTGGGTCCCTGTTTCAAAGCCAGAGGAATGTGGAAGCAGGAGGCTGGGCTTGCAGGAGCCCCCTGGGGGCTTGGGTTCTCTGGAAGGGAGTGTCGCTACTACTGGACTCAGGGGACTTGCTTTGTTTGTTTCAGGGTCAATGTCTGTGGAGGGCAGTGCTGCCATGGCTGGAGTAAGGCCCCTGGCTCCCAGAGATGCACCAAACGTAAGTTTCCATGTTCACAGCAGCCCTGCACAGTAGGTGAAGTGGGTCTGTCCACACGGGGCATCCCACAGGGGTCATGTGAAGAGGCTATGCAATGTCTGTGATGCAGTCTACCCCATTATCTGAAGTCTTCATCACCACCCAGGAAGGGCTGGGCCAGGGTAATGATGGTATCAAGGCCAGCAGCAATTCATTGTACAAAACCGTGCGGTGCATCCAAGATTCCCTTGCACCCAACCGTGGTATTAATTACTCTGTTACAACCGTGAATCAGGGGCTAGGAAAAGAAATTCCCGTTGGAGGATGTGCCATATGGCAGAACCAGTACAATTAATTTAAACATGGATATCGACAAATGAAAAACATTACGTTGATGGTAGGAGGGGAATGGGAAGTAGGACGCCCTGCTCTGGAATAAAACATCAGTAGTGTTAAAGCTTTCTGAAAACAGCACTCAGAATCTGCCATCCTTGTGGCCTGTTTCCTAGGAGGTCACTACTCTACTGTTCTTCAGAACTGACAAGTGGGTTTTCCTGCATTGCTTCTCCAGGTAATACACAGGCTTAGGAGTGTTTTGAAACATGTGTTAATGATGCATATAGATTTGAGAACATCAGAAAATATTTCCCTCTGCATTGTGAAATTAAGGATTAAGGTAAAATATTCTTTGAGGGTCCTCTTGACGAGTTGATTCTGTCTGGTGCTACCTGGACATAAAGAATTCTTACTTCCATTCAGAAATAGTTAAGCATTCTTATGTGTTCTCTGCATAGAGTTTGAACCACAAACATGTGTATTAGAATTGTTCAAAATTTTAGCTGCTTTTTGGTATTCAGTGTAATAAGTAAAATTTAGCAACTTGTCTTGTGTACGGTTTGAATTTTAAAATGCTGGTGAATTAATTAAAAATTTTTTCTATTATGGTCATTACTATTACAGTCATTCTGGTGAACTTGCTTGTTGGAAGATGCCTTCAGTCCCTGAAAGAAATAGGACTTTGGCATAGTGGCTTTAGTTTTGTAAAAAGCGATGTCCAGGTGGGTTATGATTTGGCTGTGATCAAGGAGTAGTGGCAGACATGAACTCACTAATCAGCCTCCTTGTTATTGAACTCAAACCGCTGGATCAGAAATACTCAGGGTTGTAGGCATTTTATTTTTAATTTTAAATTTATTTTATGTATTTATTTTTGGCCGTGTTGGGTCTTCGTTGCTGCTCGCATGCTTTCTCTAGTTGCGACGAGCGGGGGCTACTCTGTTGCGGTGCGCGGGCTTCTCATTGCGGTGGCTTCTCTTGTTGCGGAGCACAGGCTCTAGGTGTGCGGGCTTCAGTAGTCGTGGCATGTGGGCTCAGTCGTTGTGGCTCTTGGGCTCTAGAGTGCAGGCTCAGTAGTTGTGGTGCATGGGCTTAGTTGCTCAGTGGCATGTGGGGTCTTCCCGGACCAGGGCTCGAACCCGTGGCCCCTGCATCGGCATGCAGATTCTTAACCACTGTGCCACCAGGGAAGCCCCAGGCATTTTAGATTAAGTCGTAATTCTTCACATCTTCTTAGATTACACTTGACAATAGCGCACCAGCATTTTCCTGAATTTACAATTGCTTGGGTCCAATTACATACCCTCTCCTCCCTTCGGTAACTCCTGCTCAAAACCCGATGTGATGTTGTTTGCCTGTTACGTGCAGACAGCTCATCCATGACAGCAAATGCTGCTGTGTAAATGCTGTGTAAGGTGGGGTATTGCTGTGTAAAGATTAAAGATACAGAGCAGGTTGTTATAGATGATGGTGAGTGCTCCTTGATGCCCGTTAGAGAGAATGTGTTAAGACTCTCAAAGAAGTTTACTTGGCAAATGATGCCGTTGAGTGCCCTCTCTGAAAAGAGTAGTACCCCATTCTTAGGTTGTCTGAGGATTTGCAGATCCAAAGATGTTCTAGAAGGAGAACATCCGATCTTGAGGAATCACCTAATGGCTTCCTGCTTCTCCAGGTGAGGGAGGCAAGGGCACAAGTGTGCCACGGTTTAGCCAAGTTTGCCCTCTGGTGACCCAGAAAGAGAAAGGCTGCAAAAGGCTACCCGTCAGAAAAGTTAGGGTTGAACAGTTACTGTATACAGTGTTCCAGAGGAAGTTGCTCCGTTGGCTTAGTCTCATGATACCAATAACAAATGCTTCCGGCTCTTGGTTTAAGTTATGCTTCCAGCTTCTAGAAGGTAGCCCTTGGACAGCACCAGGACCTAAGCAATCAATGCAACATTAGCCTTCCAGTACTGCCCAATCTGACAAATTAATTCAGGCCCAAATGCTGGAAGCTTAAATCACAACTTCTTTCAAGAACAGTTGTGTTTTTAAAAATGATGCTGGGTTAGGTCAGTGCTCAATCCAAAGTAATATACGCTAGGTGGATATGTTTCAATGGGGGGTCTTGTGTTTGTCTCCCTGTGCAGAGCCAGGGAGATGAGGGAGCCTTATACCTTCACGTGGGACAACTGAGGTTACCACTGATGCGGCAAAACTTGTGTCCATGGCTAAGCAGTGTGACACCAGGAAAGACCCCTGGCCTTGGGTTCAGGAAACCTGAGTTTAAACCCTTAAGCGTTCACTAGCTGTGTGGCCTTGGGGAATTCATTTGACCTCTCTGACCCTTATATTTTCCCATCCTGAAATGACCGTGCTAAAAACTTGACTACTGGGACTTCCCTGGCGGTCCAGTGGATAAGACTGCACGTTTCCACTGCAGGGGGTGCGGGTTTGATCCCTGGTTGGGGAACTAAGATCCCACATGCCGTACGGCGTGGCCAAAAAAACAAAACAAAACAAAAAACCCCCCAAATTTGACTACTTTCTAGGATTGTTACAGGTATCAAGGTGAAATAGAATGATGGATGTGAAAGCCTTGATGAAACCAGAAGGAGTCTTAGAGTTTATTATTGAATCAAGCCAAGTAAATCCTGTCTCATTTATCTATTATTTGGTTTTCGTTTTTCCCTTTGTATGTTTCTCCAGCTATTGTCGTCATCTTCTTTTCAAAGAATGTACATGTGGATCCCTTTTTCTATTACAGCTTTAAAGTAGTTTAGGGCTGGGGGAGGGGGAGATAGGGAGATATTGGTCAAGGGGTACAAAGTTTCAGTCCCTCAGGATGAATAAGTCCTGGAGATCTAATATACTGCGGTGTGACTATAGTTAACAGTACTGTGTTATATACTTGAAATTTCTTCAGAGGGTAGATTTAGAGTGTTCCCACCACACACACACACACACACACACACACACACACACACACAAATGTTAACTGTGTGGTGATGGGTATGTTTATTAGCTTGACTGTGGTGCTTATTTTACAATGTGTGCATATATCAAAACATTGTTATACACTTTAAATATATACAATTTTTATTTGTCAATTATACCTCAATATAGATGAATAAAAAAAGGAATAAATGAAAAAGCCAGTCACTTCCATCCTGCCTGGCTTTGATTACTGAGAAAAAAGGAATAAAGTAGGCTGGGTTGTTCTGTATCCCAGAATGATTTATTTTAAAAGGACTTTGAAAGAGACTAAATATTAGATTATTTGTGTATCTCTAGTTCTCTTTGTGTAAAGCTTGCTGTTTAGATGGAAAATGCTCCCCTAAGGTATTCATAAATTGAATGGAAAAAATTCTGACACCAATTTTTGTGACTACAACTACTTTAGTAAATACTAGTGAAATTTAGACTGCAAAAGAAATTGATTTGTGGTCTCTTTCCTCTCTCACTTCCTTATTATGCTGAGATTGAACAATTGCACTTGGATATGGTTTATTACACTTAACAAATACAAAAACCAATGGCATGTCAACATGAATTTCCTTATTACGATAGTAATCATCACATACATAATTAACACAACATTGTAAAACAACTATACTTCAAATAAAAAAAAGGTAGTAGTTATCATACACTGTGTATGCACATTTAAATGTGCACATTAAATTTAAATCAACAGCAAGGATGCCATGTAATTGTCAGTTCTATTTTGAGGATAATTGAAAGGGTTTAGCTGAAGAATTTCAGTTTGTAGAGACTGTTTTCCAGTTGATGCAAAAAATATTTCTGCATAAGAGTTGAGATGTGTTTCTGTTTGCAGTTTGCTTAATCCTGTGAGGAAAACAAGGTGCCCCTTCGTGGCAGACTGGATTGTTTTTAGTTAATTGAAACTTAATTTAAATGGGCCATAGGCAAATGCTTCTGAAGACTGAAGATTTAGCGAACCTGAAATTGCCAATCAGAGAGATGTGAAACAAACAGCAGCAGACCCGCAGGGGCAGAGAGAACGGATGTGGGTGTCGGCAATGGCAGCCCCGAGGGCTTTAGCCACCCAGTCTCTACATAGAGATGCCCAGTTGCATGTTAATGCTTCTTTTCCAGACACCCTCTGTATGTGTGTCTCTAGGAATTGAAATCACAGCTCAGAGATATGGCATTTTAGTTATTAATGTGGAATGACTGCTGATAGCGATGTCATTTTGGGCCAAGGAGAAGGCACTGCATCTGTTCCCTTTCCAAGGGGTTCACATTTATTGGGAGGGTGTTAACTTTTTTTTGCCTATCCCCATTTTTGCATTTTGTTCCCTCTGTCTAAACTGAGCCCACCCCCTCTTGGTTGTTCCAATCTTTTTGTGCCCCTCTCAGGGTAAGTGCAGGCCAGAGAGAAACATTGCCAGTGGGCTCAGCTTTAAAGAGGAGACTGGACCTGGGAACAGACAACACAAAAGAATAAAGGGGAGATGAGGGTGAGGCCGGGCTGGCAGGATGAGGTGGATGGAACAAGAAAGATGGCAGATCTGAATCCAAAGCGGGTGCCTGGCACATGGCAGGCCCTCCCTAAATGCATGGATGGTTCTTTCATTTCTTTAACGGATATCTGTTTAGCTTTTACCATGTGCCAGGGTCTATGAATAGAGGAGAAACGCAGCCAGCTGTAGAGAGTGCGGGGTCTGTTTTTACTCACTTAACTCA